AAGCGGTTTAGGGTTTAGGGTTAAAAATTGTGTTCAAGGTTCAGGGTGTAGGGTTCAGGGTTGAAGTCGAAATCTGTAGGGCCTTTCAAGCGGTTTGAGATGGTGGGTCTTACAGGCCCAAGAGCAAACTAAGCCCTAAACCCTGCAATCACGGAAGGACGGCCGCGAAGTCGCTATGAAGTGGATGGAGGCTGCCGATGAGGAGCTAGTGCCTCGGTGGCACAGACTCTAGTTCTGGGCTTTGAGTAAAAGGTTGACGGTCCTACACCCTAAACTCCTTAAACTCCTGAAACTTTAAACCGTACATCCTGAACTCCACAAGTCCTGGGTTCAAAAAAGAGCCATAAACAGTCGACCCTGAACCCAAAATCCCAAACAGAGGTAGAGTCGACAGCCCCCGGACACTTTGGCTTGAGGGTTTAAGGTTTGGGGTTGAGGGTTTAGGGTATGACCTGGGGACTCAGGTGCGCAACCGCCGGAATGAGTTCGAGTTGCTGAGGGATCTGAAGCATCCGACTCTCAGAAGCATTTGCACCATTGCAAAGCTTCTAATTCCTTATAGGGCTCAGAAATATGAAAATAGTATGATCTGCCCCAGAGTTATTGAGCCCTCCCGTAAGCTAAGTATATAACCGAAATACAGCTATTAACTACCCATTATATAGCCCATTATAGGGTAGGGATCCCCATCAAGGGTCCCTCCTTCTGCCCGTTGACACAAGCACACCCAGCTGAGGAACCTCGTTCGGGCTATCGAATTCGTGCACATGCAGACATCGGCGGTGCTCATTTTAAGCTACCATCCAGGTAGCACCCTTCACGGTGCAGTCACTTGGTACAAACCGGCTTGGGGTTGAGACTTTAGAGGTAAAGTTTAGGGTTCTTGTCCGGTTCAGGCCAGGTCCCAGTAGGTAGCGTTTAGGATTCAGGGTTTAGGGTTTAGGAAACCTACTGAGCCCCAACCGCTGTTATGATTTTTGATTGAAGGGAAGCTGGACAAAAAAGGTCAGGCATTCGCTCGAAGGACGTTTCGCTGAACCAGTGGCGCAACGCTCCTTGGCGCTGACATAGTTCTGTCATAACTCCTCAGGATCACGTAGGAGAAACCAGGATTATGCTCTGCACATAGACCCTAAGAGTAATTCAGGGAAAGCTTCTACAGAAATCCCAATCAAGGGGCCCTATTTAAACAGTCTGCCTGCCCCAAGCCTGAAACCCCATACCCGATAATTCGGGGGCAGTGCCCATGCAACCAGAAACCCTAAACCCTAAA